TGCTTGAGCAAAGGCAGTCAGGGTTGCAGTGAGCTACGATCATGCCATTGCACTCCAGCCTGGTTGACAAAGCGAGATCCTGTCTCAAAAAAAAGGTAGAAAAAAATAATAAAAATATTATTGCCTATGTCTGGATTTTTTTTCACTCAATTGTAAAAATACTACTCTGTAAAATAATTGTAATTGTAAAAATAGTACTCTACAAAGATGGCATTCCTTTCCTAATAGAACTATTTGCTAAAAGACAGCACAACATATGACATCTTGGCTATCTGCATGTATAGGAAAATGTGAACTCAATCGCTATATTATGAATGCTGTCTTAGATCAAGCGGTGTAGAAACAGGTTAGAGTCCAGGATTCTTGTGCAAGAGATTAATTGAGGGACTCACTCAAGAAGTGTTTGTAAAGAAGTGTTAGAAGTGGGATGGAAAAGGGAAGTAGCTAAGCAAAATGTGTTTTAGCTGAATTCTAGCCTTCCCAGCCCCAGCATTTCCTACACAGGCAGTTCCATTAGTTAAAGGCAATTCCTAGAATGGGTAGGGTAATCCCATTGTAGATGGGATTGCATTATTGATTTGGTTCTCAGCTTGAATGTTACTGGTTTGTAGAAATGCTACTGATTTTTGTACACTGATTTTGTATCCTGAAACTTGATTGAAGTCATTTATCAGTTTTAGGAGCCTTTTGGTAGAGTTTTCTAGGTTCTCTAGTTATAGAATCATATTAGCAGCAAAGAGAGATACTTTGACTTATTTTCCTATTTGGATGCCTTTTTTTCTTTCTCCTGCCTGATTGCTGTGGCTAGGACTTCAGTACTGTGTTTAATAAGAGTGGTGAGAGTGGACATCCTTGTTTTGTTCTGGTTCTCAAGGGGGGGGTCCTTCCAGCTTTTGCCCATTCAGTATGATGGCTATGGGTTTGTCATAGATGGTTATTTTGAGGTTTGTTCCTCCAATGCCTAATTTGTTGAGGGTTTTTAACATGAAGGTGTTGGGTTTTATTAAAAGCTTTCTCTTCATCTGTTGAGCTGATTATATAGTTTTTGTTTTTAATTTTGTTTATGTGGCGAATCACATTTATTGACTTGTATATTGTTGAACTACCCTTGCATCCCAGGAATGAAGCCTACTTGATTGTGGTAAGGTAACTTTCAAGTGCTGCTGGATTTAGTTCACTAGTATTTTGTTGAGGATTTTTGTATGTATGTTCCTCAGAATTATTGGCCTGTAGTTTTCTTTTTTCACTGTGTTTTTGACAAGTTTTTGGTATCAGGATGATGCTGGCTTCATACAATGAGTTGGGGAGGATTCCTTCCTTGTTTTGTTTTGTGTTTTTGGTTTTGTTTGTTTGTTTTTTTGTAGCGGGGTAGGGTGATAGTTTCCTTAGAATTGGTACCAACTCTTCTTTATACATTTAATAAATTCAACTGTGAATGCATCTCATCTGGGGCTTTTTGGTTGGTAGATTTTTTTTTTTAATGGATTCCATTTCAGAACTCAGTATTGTCTGTTTAGGGTTTTGATTTCTTCTTGATTTGATCTTGGGAGACTGTGTCCTTCTAGGAATTTACCCATTTCTTCTAGATTTTCTAGCTTTCTAGTGTGCATAGAGCTGTTCGTAATAGTTTCTGATGATCTTTTGTATTTCTGTAGAATCAGTTGTAATGTCACCTTTGTCATTTTTGATTGTGCTTATTTGCATCTTCTCTCTTTTCTTTGTTTAGCTAATGGTCTGTTCTTGTTTATCCTCTCAAAGAACCAACTTTTGGTTTCGTTAATTCTTTGTATGGGTCTTTGTGTCTCAATTTTATTGAGTTCTGCTCTCATTTCTTTTCTTCCGCTACATTTGGAATTAGTTTGTTCTTGTTTTTCTAGTTCCTTCAGGTATGGTGTGGTGTTAGATTGTTAATTTGAGATCTTTCTAACTTTTTGATAAGGGCAATTAGCACTGTAAACTTTCCTCTCAACTCTGCCTTTGCTGCATCCTAGAGGTTTTGGCATGTTGTGTCTCTTTTCGTTTATTTCAAAGAAGTTTTTAAATTTCTGTTTTACTTTCATTTCTTTACACAAAAGTCATTCACAAGGAAGTAGTTTAATTTCCATGTAGTTGTGTGGTTTTGAAAGACCTTCTTGGTATTGATTTCTGTTTTTATTCCACTGTGGCCCCAGAGTATGGTTACTATGATTTTGATTTTTTTACTTTATTGAAACTTGCTTTTTGGCCAAGCATGTGGTCGATCATAGGGTATGTTCTATATGCAGATGAAAATAATGTATATTCTGTGGTTGATGGGTGGAGTATTCTGTAGACGTCTATTAGATCCAGTTGGCCAAGTGTCAGATTTAAGTCCAGAATTTCTTTGTTAGTTTTTTGTCTCAATGATCTAACACTATCAGTGGGGTATTGAAGCCTCCTACCATAACTATGTGGCTAATTATTTTTGTAGGCCAAGAAAACCTTGTTTTATGAATTTGGGTGCAGCAATATTGGTTGCATATGTATGTAGGATAGTTATGTCTTCTTGTTAAATTGAACCCTCTATCATTATGTAATGACCTTTTGTGTCCATTTTTACTGTTAAAGTCTATTTTGTCTGATATAGGAATAGTGACCCCTGCCCTTTTTTGTTTTCTATTTGCATCATGAATCTTTCTCCGATGGCCAGGTGCGGTGGCTCACACCTGTAGTCCCAACACTTTGGGAGGCCGAGGTGGAGAGATCATGAGGTCAGGAGATCAAGACCATCCTGGCCAACATGGTGAAACCCCATCTCTACTAAACATACAAAAAGTAGCCAGGCGTGGCAGCATGCACCTATAATCCCAGCTATTCAGGAGACTGAGGCAGGAGAGTTCCTTGAACCTGGGAGGTTGTTGTTGCGGTAAGCTAAGATGGTACCATTGCACTCCAGCCTGGGCAACAATAAGCAAAACTCTGTCTTAAAAAAAAAATATTTCTCCAGCTATTTACTTTGTGCCTGTCAGTGTCATTGCATGTGAGATGGGTCTCCTGAAGACACCAATCAAATGAATCTTTTTTTTTTTTAATCTACCTTGCAACTCTGTGTCTTTTAAGTGGGGTGTTTAGACCATTTACCTTCAAGGTTAATATTGATATGTGAGACTTTGATCATATCATGAAGTAGTTAGCTGGTTGCTTCATAGTTCTACTGTGTGGTTGCTTTATAGGGTCTGTGGGCTATGTACTTAAGTAAGTGTGTTTTTGTGGTAGCAGGTATTATTTTTATGTTTCTATGTTTAGAACTGCCTTAAGGATCTCTTGTAAGGCTGGTCAAGTGGTAACAAATATCCTTAGCACTTGCTTGTCTGGAAAAGATTTTATTTTTCCTTCACTTATGAAACTGAGTTTGGCAGGATATAAAATTCTTGGTGGGAATTTCTTTCAGAATGCTAAAAACAGGCCCCAATCTCTCCTGGCTTATAAAGTTTCTTCTGAGAAGTCTACTATTAACTTGATGGGATTCCCTTTGTGTGTGATCTGACCTTTTTTCTAGCTGCCTTGAAGATTTTTTCTTTAGTGTTGACCTTAGACACCCTGGTGACTGTATGCCTGGTGATGTTCAGTTTTTATAATACCTCACAGCTGTTCTCAGATTTCTCGTACCTGGATGTCTACCTTTCTAGCAAGATTAGGGAAATACTCTTGAGTTATTCCCTCAAATGTGTTTGTCAGGTTGTTTACTTTTCTACCTCCTCTCTCAGGAATGTCATTAATCGGTAAATTTGGTTGCTTTACATAATCCCATATTCCTCAAAGACTCTGTTAATTTCTTTTATTCTTTTTTCTTTATTTTATCTAACTGAGTTATTTCAGAATACCAGTCTCCAAGGTCCAAAATCTTCTGCCTGGCATTTACTAACTTCCTAAACTTAGGAAGCAACTATGCCTCTGTAAGCTTGTTTTTAAACATGCAAAATGCAGGTATTATCTACTCAACCTACTTGACAAGATTGTTGTAAGATTCCAATGAAATAATGTTTTGTAGAACATTTTACATGTTGAAGCATTTTTTATGGGTACAGTATTATCTCACATATTTCAACCCCCCCAGCTAACAGGCTGTATCCTTTAGGGTACTCCCCTCTCACTGTCATTCTTCTCCTTTCATATAGCACAAATTCTGGTCAGTTGACTTGAGTGCAAATGGGTTACTTTGCCTGAATACAGAAATTTGACCTCCCAACTATAAATATGAAAGCAGCTTATAATATTTACATTTCTTTAATGTACCATTTCAAAACTGCAGATTTGTGTTATCAGTATTTCAGTATATGTCCTGTCCCTGTTAATGTGTAGGTTTATAATAGGGAGATACATTTTATATACTTCTTTGTTTCATCCATGCTACCTGCCATAGAGTCTTGTACATCGTAGATACTGAATAACTGTCAAATGAATGAGGAGTTATTAAGACCAAGAGGCTTTTCAGAGAAAACTTTACCAAACTCTCTAGGACTAGGACCCCAAATCTGTGCTCAAAGCCCATGGCTTTGAGCCATATCTTAACTAGGTAAGAGACAGGATAAAGTGGTATATTAGAACCCATTTTAGAGATATGGCTTTATATGAAAAGTATCTAGTTAAAAGGAAACACAATCTAGAGACCTGATACAGTTTTAGCCTTACTTACTTAATAGTGAAATAATCCTTCAACAGAAAAAAATAATGATCAAAGACAGGAAAACCCAACTTGAAAGAGAAAAACAAAGAAAACATAAAAACCAGAAATGATATTTATTATCTAGAACTTAGAGGAGAGGGTTAAATTAAGGAATTTATAAAAATAGTCTAGCAGTAATGAGCTAATTCTTAACCTGATTATGATTAAGAATCTATAATTTATCTCTAATAATATTAACATGCATGGAAGTATTCATATTAAACCAGTTTTTAAGAACTTTCACTTAGTAACTGTAGAAGTTATCATCAATTCTCTTATTTTCCTTTAAAAATTTATATATTATTTTTGTGTTTAGGATCATTTTACTTCTCCAGATGAATATGATGACCCTACTGTGCTCTATGAAGCCATTGTATCTCATGAGAAAAACCTCGTAATAGCCCACGAAGGGGACCCTGCATGGCGGAGTGCAGTACTTGCCAACTCTCCCTCCTTGCTTGCTCTGCGGCATGTCATGGATGATGGCACCAATGAATATAAAATCATCATGCTCAACAGACGCTACCTGAGCTTCAGAGTCATTAAAGTAAGTGAGGTATTATTTGTGGCCAAAAAATAGAAGTTTAATAACTTGATCTAAACTTTTTTTTTTTTTTTGAGGCAGAGTCCCACTTTGTGGCCCAGGCTGGAGTGCTGTGGCATGATCACGACTCACTGCAGACTCTCAACCTCCCTCGGCCCAGGTGATCCTCCACCTCACCCTTTCAAGAAGCTGGGATTACAGGCATGCACCACCATGCCTGGCTAATTTTTGTGTTTTTTGTAGAGACGGGGTTTTGCTGTGTTGCCTAGGCTGCTGGTCTCGAATTCCTGGGCTCAAGTGATCCACCTGACTCAGCCTCCCAAAGTGGTACAATTACAGGTGTGAGCCACTGCACCCAGCCTTGATCTAAACTTTTAAAAAGTGACTGAAAGTTTTTTCACAGAAAAAATGTAATGCCCATACTACATTAGTAGTTGTTGTTTATGAGCACTTAATTTGACTTCCTTTTTTCAGTACTTTATTCTGTCCTCTGAAAGTTTCTCATGTGCCTTATAGCCTTAAAATTTTTGGTTATTTCAGTTTTGACAGTTTTTTATCCATTAAATGGCAGATCTTATATCTTTTATATATGCAATTTGGGCAGCATCTCTTTGTAAAAAGTCAGCACCATATTGCTAATATGATATGATTCCTAGGTTGCAAAATGATAGCCTACTATGTACTGAATAGACATCAGAAGTTAAATAGTTCATTCTAACTTTTCCTTGTTTTTTTAAACATCTCAGGGCTTTAAGAGGTTTAATTTCTGAAATTTTATTTTGATAGTTTGTAGTTGTTTATTTTTTAAATTTACATTATTTAGTCGACTGATACATGTTATAAACATTTTTGCAACCCTAAATACTTATCTCTCATTTCTATAAAAAATATCTATTGTCTTATTTATAAAATTGAGTGCTTTTCCAGTTTAAAAAACTAAATTGGCTTCATTTACTTGAAACTTTTAAAGACAGAGCATGAAGAAAGAGCTCTGTGGATGCTTATTATTTAGCAACCTGCTAATGACAAACGGAAATTGGTTACCTCTTAAACGTGTCCTGCTTATATTTGTTTCCTGCTTTTCACAACTAGTTATTGTAATATCTTTTGTATTCCTCCCATTTCTGCTCTTCTGTTTCTGTAAATTTTATTCTTGGCCCCTTGACCTAATTCCCTCGTGTTCTGGTTTTCAGGTGAATAAGGAATGTGTCCGAGGTCTTTGGGCGGGTCAACAGCAGGAGCTTGTTTTTCTACGTAACCGTAACCCAGAGAGAGGTAGCATCCAAAATGCAAAGCAAGCCCTGAGAAACATGATAAACTCATCTTGTGATCAACCTATTGGCTACCCAATCTTTGTCTCACCCCTGACAACTTCTTACTCTGACAGCCACGAACAGCTTAAAGACATTCTTGGGGGTCCTATCAGCTTGGGAAATATCAGGAACTTCATAGTGTCAACCTGGCACAGGTGAGCCAAGGGGTTGCATTATTCAGTGCTGGTGTATTCCTGACCTTCTTAATCTAGGCATGTACAGTAACGTCACCTGGGAATCTTGTAGAAAAAAACTACAGGTGCCATGGTACATTATGAACCCATTATTTCTGAACTTCAAGAAGTAGAATCTGAGCATTCTTATCAAAATCTTGTTAGATAAATCTGATGTATAATTGTGGTTCAAAACCATTGCTCTGTTACTTGATAGAATCTTGGAAAATTCCCTTTATTTGTCTAATTTTTTTTTTAACTTTCTATTGTACATTGCCACTATTAGAATGTGTGGGTATTTGTTCTATGCAGATGGGGAATTAAGAGAAAAACGTAAGTGGATTACTTTTTCTAGTTTACCGTTCTGTTTCAACACTAGGGGGAGCACTCTGTACGTTGAGACTTGATGGCAATGCAGAGAGATACTGCTGCCTTTTTAACAATACATTCTCACTCAGATCTGAAATCTAGAGTGTTTTCAAGTATTCACATGAATTTTTTCTCTGTCTTTTGTCTAGTAAATGATGATGTCTGGAGTAGGAACATCATAGTTTGGATGGTGAAGAAACTTTGCAGAACATTATTTTTCTTTTCTTAAGGGTTGTTCAGATTCTTATATGTAGCTTAAGGAAAACCAAATCTGGCGACTAAAGTGGCAGACTCTCAAATGTTTAATCTCTGCCCAAAACAGAAGGCACAATATAAGCCAGTAGAGTGTTCAAAGAAATTTTCTTTCCAAAAAATATTTAATATGTTGTAATTACCTCAAATTCTTTCCCTCTAAGAAAAATGGCATAGAGTGCCCAATTGTCCTTGTTTGCTTAGTCACTCTCCATTTTTAAAAAATAGGAAAAATGATTTCAGCACCTCTTTTCAAGTACACCATATTAACAGTATAAATAAATTAGGTTTTCAGGGGTTACATACTTCAGAGTAACTGAACAGACATTGGCACTGGTAAGAATGCTGTTTTCAGGCTGGGCAGGGTGGCTCACACCTGTAATCCCAGCACTTTGGCAGGCCGAGGTGGGCAGATCGCAAGGGTAACATGGTGAAACCCCATCTCTACTAAAAATATAAAAATTAGCTGGGTGTGATGGCAGGTGCCTGTAGTCCCAGCTACTTGAGAGGTTGAAGCAAGAGAATCGCTTGAATCAGGAGGCAGAGGGTACAGTGAGCTGAGATCACACCACTGCACTCCAGCCTGGCAACAGAGTAAGACTCTGTCTCAAAAAAAAAAGGAACAACAACAATTCTGTTTCCACTGTGATTTTTTTTTTGAAATTTAATTAAAATAAATGAAAAAGTTACAAAAATTTCCAAAGTTGGCTGATTATACAAAATGCATTCAGCTGTGAGAAACTTTTTTTTTTTTTTTTTTTTGAGACGGAGTTTCGCTCTTGCTACCCAGGCTAGAGTGCAATGGCGCGATCTCAGCTCACTGCAACCTCTGCCTCCTGGGTTCAGGCAATTCTCCTGTCTCAGCCTCCCGAGTAGCTGGGACTACAGGCATGCGCCACCATGCCCAGCTAATTTTTTTGTATTTTTAGTAGAGACGGGGTTTCACCATGTTGACCAGGATGGTCTCGATCTCTTGACCCCGTGATCCACCCGCCTCGGCCTCCCAAAGTGCTGGGATTACAGGCCCGAGCCACCACGCCCGGCTGAGAAACTTTTTTTTTATTGTACTTTAAGTTCAGGGATACATGTGCAGATCTTGCAGGATTGTTGCATAGGTACACACATGCCATGGTGGTTTGCTGCCTCCATCCCCCATCACCTACATCAGGCATTTCTCCCAGTGTTATCCCTCCCCAACCTCCCCGCACTCCTCACCATTCCTCCCCTAGTGCCCCAACCCCCAACATACCCCAGTGTGTGATGTTCCCCTCCTTGTGCCCACGTGTTCTCATTGTTCAACACCCACCTATGAGTGAAAAAGTGCGGTGTTTGGTTTTCTTTTCTTGTGTCAGTTTGCTGAGAATGATGGTTTCCAGATTCATCCACCTCCCTGCAAAGGACATGAACTCCTTGTTTTTTATGGCTGCATAGTATTCCATGGTGCATATGTGCCACATTTTCTTTGTCTAGTCTGTCATTGATGGGCATTTGGGTTGGTTCCAGGTCTTTGCTGTTGTAAACTGTGCTGCAGTGAACATATGTGTGCATGTGTCTTTATAATAGAACAGTTTATAATCCTTTGTGTATATACCCAGTAATGGGATTGCTGGGTCAAATGGAATTTCTGTTTCTAGGTCCTTGAGGAATTGCCACACTGTCTTCCACAATGGTTGAACGAATTTACACTCCCACCAACAGTGTAAAAGCGTTCCTATGTCTCCACATCCTCTCCAGCATCTGTTGTCTCCAGATTTTTTAATGATCGCCATTCTAACTGGCGTGACATGGTATCTCAATGTGGTTTTGATTTGCATTTCTCTAATGACCAGTGATGATGAGCATTTTTTTTGTATGTTTGTTGGCCTCATGTATGTCTTCTTTTGAAAAGTGTCTGTTCATATCCTTTGCCCACTTTAATAGGTTTGTTTGTTTCTTGTAAATCTGTTTTAGTTTCTTGTAGATTCAGGATATTAGCCCTTTGTCAGATGGGTAGATTGCAAAAAAATTTTTTTTCCCATTCTGTTGGTTGCCAGTTTACTCTAATGATTGTTTCTTTTGCTGTACAGAAGCTCTTAAGTTTAATTAGATCCCATTTGTCTATTTTGGCTTTTGTTGCCAATGCTTTTGGTGTTTAATCCTGAAGTCCTTGCCTTACACCTATGTCCTGAATGGTTTTGCCTAGGTTTTCTTTTAGGGTTTTTATGGTGTTAGGTCTCATGTTTAAGTCTTTAATCCATCTGGAGTTAATTTTAGTGTAAGGTGTAAGGAAGGGGTCCAGTTTCTGTTTTCCGCACATGGCTAGCCAGTTATGCCAACACTATTTGTTAAAGAGGGAATCCTTTCCCCATGGCTTGTTTTTGTTAGATTTGTCAAAGATCAGATAGTTGTAGATGTGTGGCGTTGCTTCTGAGGCCTCTGTTCTGTTCCATTGGTCTATATCTCCGTTTTGGTACCAGTACCATGCTGTTTTGATGTTAATGGTACAACTGAGTTATATACAGTTCTTTATCGTGGTGCAGGACCAATAATAGAGTATATAAAAGTGAAGTAAATTGGAAAGATTTGAGACAGTGAATATGAGGGTTATAGTTCTTAAGCCATTCTTTGAAAACGTATGAGTGTTTTTGTTCCTGATATTGATTGCACCATAAAGACTTAAAAGGTAAACATTAGTAGCATTAGCAGTTCAGAATAGCTGGAAAAAGAATACCCATTTTGAAGTGATCTTGGGATAATGCTTTTTACTCTGATATTTGTTCCTAGGCTTAGGAAAGGTTGCGGAGCTGGATGTAACAGTGGTGGCAATATTGAAGATTCTGATACTGGAGGTGGGACTTCCTGCACTGGTAACAATACAACAACTGCCAACGATCCCCACAGCAACCTATCCCAGGGAAGCACTGGAAATCCTGGGCAGGGATCAGGAACCGGGCTCCATCCACCTGTCACATCTTATCCTCCACCACTAGGTAATGTGAAACAAAGTTATATGTCTAATGTTAGCTTCATAGCATAGAGGCTGGTTTGTATATGTGTATAGAGGACTACATGTGAGCTACTTGAAAATACAGTAATAGAATTTTTTAAAATTCCAGGTTGTACTTGTATTATCCCATTCATTCATACTTTTTTATATATGTAATTTTAAACTTGATAATTCAACATAAACATTTTGATATATTAAGGATTATTTGAAAATATAATTTTTAAAGGTTAATAACTTAACTATTATAATTAATACTTAAATATTAATTATAATTAACTTCTCCCCTGTTGGACAATGACTTGGTTTTTCTTCTAACATAATGTTGTAATAATATTTGTATATAAGTCTTTGTAACTGTTTATTATTTCCATAGACCAGAAATTTTAGGAATGAACTAGGCCAAAGCTTATGAGAATAATACTCTTGATATATAATGCCAAAAATCTTCCAGAAAAAAAAAGTTTTTTTTAAATTTTAATTGTTTTAATTTGCATTACTTTGATACCTAAGATGGAAGTTTTTAATGAATTTATCAGCAGCTCTCTTTCTAATGTGCTTATTTACATCTTTTGCCTATTTTTTTATTTGGTTATCTTTTTCTTATTGATTTGTGTTTTATAGTCTGGATTTGAGCTCTTTCAGTTTTCTATACTACAAATATCTTTTCCCATTCTGTCCATTGGCTTTTCATTCTCTTACTATGAAGAGTTACTTGCCTTCTTTTGATGAGAAGTCCTTAATTTTATTGAGAATGATTTACTAATCATTTATTTTATCATTATGTCCTAATTAAGAAAATTTTCCCTATCCCTAGGCCCTCAAGGTAGCTTTTATTAATTTCCCTTTGATATGAGATCAACAGTCCATTCAGTTTACAGAAGGAATCAGATCTCAACTGTCTTCATATGGATGATCAGTTGGTCCAGCCATATGGAGAGTTGATCCTCTCCCCGACTGCCCCCCTGACTGCTTCACATGGATCAGATAAATTTTTCAGACATTTATTTAAATTGAAAGACATTTATTAAATTTTAATATGGGATTCAAGTGAAGAGACATGATAGATCAACATTTTAGATGTTCTTTTTTTGCTTCTGAGTGAAAACATAAAACTTTCAGTGTTCTTTAAATGTACTTTTTGCTCTTACATTGATTAGTTCTTTTTATTTTCAGGTAAAAAGTACATGTAGCTATGTTTTCACTGTAATTAATTTTACATTACTGTTACAAGTCAAGAAAAAGACAAGTCTAAAGAATCAAATCAAGGCACTTGAAAAAGGATGCAGAAGAACCTGCTTTTCAGTACCACTGATATTTCTATTTAGCAGTGATCCCCGAATGTGTATGAAAATTAAAGCATGGTATTCACTGTCACCCTCTAGGCAGTGTAGCTTTTCCTTGGAAGAGGTTGAAAGGGCAGTAATAACCATACTTTGAGAAATAGTAGTTATAGAGCATGCCACTTAGTAGGACCTTAATAAATGTTTTTCTTTTTTAACTGGCAAAAATTATATATTTTTATGGTGTATATCATCATGTTTTAATATGTGAATATATTGCAAAATGATTAAATTAAGCTAGTTAACATATCCATTACCTCATATACCTATTTTTTTGTGGTAAGAACATTTTAGAGCTACTCAGCAATTTTTAAGCTTATAACACATTATTATTAATTGTAGTCCCCAGGCTGTACAGTAGACCTCCAGAGCTTATTCCTCCTGACTCACTGGAACTTTGTACCCTGTGACCAACACCTCCCCCTCCCCAGCCCCTGGCAGCCACCTTTCTACTCTCTGCTTCTGTGAGTTTGGATTTTTCAGATTCCATGAGTGAGAGAGATATGTAGTATTTCTCAGTAAATCTCTGAGCATCTCATTTCCATGAGATAGTTCATTTCTGATGTGTTACAGAAGTATTCTTATTATTTTGAAATATTTCTGTGAAACATATTTTAGGATTTATCCTAACCTTAAGTCCTGATGTTTCCTGTCAGATATTTAATTATTAATTAGGTCTTTCATATGCCTCAGAATTTTAACTCTAAAAAACGTTAGCAAATAAAAATTATGTTACAAAAACTGCATATGAAAAAAGATCTCAGATACATGTTTCTTTTTCTTAACTTTAAAAGTTTTAGGCATAAACATTGATAAGTTCTATCAATTCATCAATTAATTGCCTAGGGGAAAAAGTCTTAGAAACTGTAAAACAGAAGTATCATGTCTGAGTCATTCTACTTTGAGTGAATGCTGTTGTTTCTCCTCCTAGGCACTAGCCACAGCTCTCACTCTGTGCAGTCGGGCCTGGTCAGACAGTCTCCTGCCCGGGCCTCAGTAGCCAGCCAGTCTTCCTACTGCTACAGCAGCCGGCATTCGTCTCTCCGGATGTCCGCCACGGGGTTTGTGCCTTGTCGGCGCTCCTCCACCAGTCAGATATCGCTTCGAAACTTGCCATCCTCCATCCAGTCCCGCCTGTCGATGGTGAACCAGATGGAACCCTCCAGTCAGAGTGGCCTGGCCTGTGTGCAACACGGCCTCCCTTCCTCCAGCAGCTCCAGCCAAAGCATCCCAGCCTGCAAACATCACACTTTAGTGGGCTTTCTTGCGACAGAGGGAGGTCAAGGCAGTGCCACTGATGCACAGCCAGGCAATACCTTAAGTCCTGCCAATAATTCACACGCCAGAAAGGGAGAAGTGATTTACAGAGTCCAAGTGAGTAAGCCAGAGGTGGTCTTGTGCTGTTTTTATTACTTATTTGTTTTATTTCTTATTTGTTGAATGAAGGACTCTTGTGTAAACACATCTTATCTTAGTCTCAAGACTAGAATATTTTTGAATGTTGGGGAAAAGTTTCTTCGAACTTAAAAATTGAAAGCAAACAGTTTTTGTGGTGGTGATATTTGTTCCTTGTTCTGCCATTGTCACGTGGCCATTGCAGTGAGGTCTACCAGAAGGCTGAAAATAATTCAAGAGGTAGTTCTTAAGATTTTTTTTTAAATTCCATTAGAAGAATTTAAAAAGTAACTTGAGACACAAAGAGTCCTGTGAAAAACATTTTGTTTGAGATTACATAATTTTTCATCATTAAGAAAAAAATTAATTGGAATGTTTTTATTTATTATATAGATTGTGGATCCCGGTCAAATTCTGGAAGGGATCAACCTGTCTAAAAGAAAAGAGCTACAGTGGCCTGATGAGGGAATTCGGTTGAAAGCTGGGAGAAATAGCTGGAAAGACTGGAGTCCGCAGGAGGGCATGGAAGGCCATGTAAGTTCTTTTACAAGCTTGTGGTCTGGGGGTCTGCATTTTTTGAAGTCTCCCTCACTCAGATGCATGGTTTTAGCTGATTTATACATATGTATAATTTTCAGACAAAATTGCTACTACTAATTCTGGGTGGGGATAAGAGTTTGTGTATATTCCAGGTCTCCAGCACTAACTTCTACTTTTATTATGAATCGTTAGGTGATTCACCGATGGGTGCCTTGCAGCAGAGATCCAGGTACTAGATCCCACATCGACAAGGCAGTGCTTCTGGTCCAGATTGATGATAAATATGTGACTGTAATTGAAACTGGGGTACTAGAACTTGGCGCTGAAGTGTGAGCCAATGTTTTATAAAGACGTTTATTTTTCCCTCTTAATTCCAAGACACTGGAAAAAGAGAGGAGCAAGCAGAAGATGCCTGCAGGTATCACATCAATCCTGTATGGGAGAGACTGAAAGCAGAATGAGCTTGGCTAAGCGCCTCTCCCTTGCCCTTCACCCTGACTCCTGTCACTGTCTCCATCCCCAAATAAAGCCAAAATATTTTTTTAAGTTAGTTGCCAAGAAAACATTTTGCATGAAAGATAAAGTTCTGTTAAAATACATCCTTAAAAAAAGTTTTTCCTATGCATTGCCTATGCTTTAAATCAACAAACTCTTCATTTCTAAACTATGATCTCGTATTTTTCTAATTTCTTTGCCAAAAATAATTGCCATGTTTTGTCATAGAACATGAAATTCATTTACCTTGATTTTTAAAAACAGACCAGTATAGAAATGTTCTGTATGACTTATAGCAGTATAAAAGTTTAATGTACAGTGAAAGAGACTATGAACAGACATAGATTTATCTTATTCCTTGAGCGCTAAAAACTTTAATGAAAAAAAAAACTGCACTAATTTTTTACAGCAATGCACTAAAGTCTGAGATTTCTCAGAACATTTATTTATATATAAAAATAAAATACCATTATTTAAATTGCCTTTGGGATTAACCCCTTCCCTTATAAATATAGGTAGCAGGAATTGTGCTGCTAATTTTTCTGTTAGTAGTCTGTACTTCATGCCAGGACATTGGATGTTTTCTTTAAAATGAATATGTAATCTCAAGGTATACATAGCTTCCTCATTGACATTTCCCAGAGCCAATAGTCAGCGGATCAGTCATGTGAACACTACTGCCAGCTCCTGTGTCCACATCTCAGAGGAGCCCATGTGCTCTGCTTCTCTCCAGCAGGGCAGGCTCTGCTGGGCTCGCTTCTGGGAAGAAAATGCTTTTCTTTAAGAAGAAGGTGAATATCCAGGAATTTAAAGAGAGGATCGATTGCCTTTTATTTATTTTATGAGTTTCTAGCTCTTGAAGTTATTCAAATGCAGTTTAGTTAATCAAGTAAAATTTTTTCAAATAAAAATATCCAAATGGTGCAGTTATTATTATATCCCTCTTTAATAATTTTGCTTTTTATTTTTCCCTCTTCTTTTTCTATTACTTGAATTTTATTTCCTGTAATTTATAGTGTGTAGCTGTAAATTGAAATATTTATAACTGTGAAATTGACTAAATTCATATGTTGTCTCATAACTTAAATTTTATTGGTTTTTTTAAAAAAATGTATATTCAGGGAAATATATTACTCATATTTACAATTGGGCGATATGGGAATTTCAATTTAAATTTAATTTGCAACTTTTAGCATTTTTAAAATCCTTAAGAAAATTTTCCCTTTTGTTGTGAAACTCCAAAGAAAATTGTACATCTCCTCTGAGCATTTAGGAGCAGCCATCTTTGTACCCCTTGTGAATAGAACATTGAAAGAAACAGGTAAAAGTAATTTTAATAATGCATTTTATTTAATCCAGTACATTCGAAGTATTACTATTTCATCATGTCTCACTAGCCATATTTCAAGTACTCAATAGCTACATGTACCTAGTGGCTACTGTATTAGACAGTACAGATTTAAAGTATCTTTTACTGAGGTGGCAGAAGAGAGAAGCTGTTTTTCCTACTAATTCTGATGTAGATCTCACGTTATAACATAACATTACAGTAGAAGGAATGAAAACTAAGAAAGCAAATAGTGAACATACCAATCTTCCTGCATTTCTACTTTGAAACCTATTTATTTTTCCTTTTTCTAATTTTAAACTTCTGTGGTCATTCAGAACCTAATGTGCCTTGTGTTGACATTTCCATAGACTTCACACTTTACAAAATTTACTGTTTAAAAATACTTGTCAAATGATTTACTGAACCTTTATACAAAGATACCCTTTCGAAATTGACCATTTAAAAATGTATTTTTCTGATAGTCATTATATTCTGCATTTGCCTCATTTTGGCAGATCTACAGTATGCCATTAAAGTTTAGTGGTTTTGGTTTTAGAGGGTTTTTTTTTTCCTGAAACTGAATTTATAATAAATTTCTCTATGTACATATATTTTTTAAATCTTCTCAAAGTAACTGTGTTCCCTTTGGCTTGTTCCCTTTGTGAAGTGAGTATGATCTTTTCATGGTCATTGCCTAGATAAGAGATAAGTAGAGCCTTTTCAGTCTTAGACGGAAGGTAATTCGTTTTCCCACGCAGAAAAAATAAATCTGACCTTCACATGATTTAATCAGAAAGGGCTGGAATTTTTTGATTTCTAGCCCCTGCTCCATAAAAATTTTTAACGCATCACATACTCTGAAAAGTCAGATTTCAAATGCAAGACTAGATTTTATATGGAACATATATGTTGGGTTTTGATTTTGGGTAGCAATTGATATACATTTTTCTCAAAACAGGTTGAATTTTGTTAACATATAATTCTTTAGTGAGTTTATAAATTAGGAACCCTGAGAGAAACCCTGTTGTTTTTCTTAAGAGTCTAAAACTGACAGTCTTTTAAAAATCATAGTACTTTTCTAGTAATTGCATCAGGGGAAATGGTGATAATTGAAGAAACATTTATTTCTTAAGAATAATTTGATCTAAATTATATGGGCATATAACACTTGCGTTAACTTAATTGATCATAAATTTTTGTTCCTGCCTCACCTGTCACCCCCCGCTCCGAGAATCATGAATGACTTGTTTAGATTCTCTGCTTCACCTTTTTCAGTTATGTACAAGACTTCAGCCTACATTAATGTCTTTAGTTTATAAATTGCCAATGCTTCGATTTTCATAATTTGAAAGTAAAAAGATATAACTAAAACACTAGCTTTTTAAAATTCATTTCCTTTTTATAATGTTGTATGATTGAAATCTTTCTGTTTTTTCTTGTTTAATTCTTCCCCACCCCGACCCCCCCTTATAAGAGAAAGATAATCATGGAATGAGTTATATATTGTTGCCTTTTTTTTCTTTCATTCGGTGACAAAAAACATTTTATAGCTCCTAACTAAGCTTTTGGTTAATCTTCCAATTTATACCTTGGTGTGAACTCTCTTTTTACACCATTTTCAACACTGGATAAAACTTTAATGTTGACTTTTTTGCTAAAGAACTTTAATTTTTCCAAGAATCTAGATTAACATAAGATGTTGATGTTTAAGGAACTTGGAAGAGTAAGTGGTAAGGCTGTATGTATATTTTTTAAGAGATTGCCTTTTAGGAAATTAGTGAACAAACTTAACCAGTGTTCTGCCTTCTTTGACTTTGTTACTGGAGGATGATGATCTAATTCTATTAGGTTTGAAGTCGTTTGGAAAATATTTCAAGTATATCTGAAATACTTCTAATTTTTGAAACAGAAGTAGACAGACAGTATTTGTATCCCAAGTGAGATATGGAATATTACTCTGTGTACTAAATGTCAGGCAATGAAAATACAAGTTTTTGTGTAGGAAACCCAGTAAGAAGATGTGTTTCTCTTTCTGAATTAGTTTATTTTTCCATCACATACCAAAATACAAAACTCAGCCTCATGTTTTTCAGCAGGGGCAGCTTAGCCTTGATAAATTCCTCTGTGCTTCTGAGCATCATCCTTCTGCCTCTGCCTAGCAGCTCTGCTTTTGGTGAATTGCTGTTGTGAGCCATTCATCCAGCACTGGGCCTTTTAAGCTGAAGATTCACCCATTGTCTAGAATTGTCCTTTTCTTTTAGCTAGCTTTCAAGCATCTTTCCTCCTAAATAAATATGTGACTTGAGAAAAAGGTGATAATGATTTTGTCAGAATCCTTTGACTTTATATTTACTAGCTACTTAAACATAAACTGTTGTCCATATTGTTAATTTCTTTTATATTTATTTTAATTAATTTTTCATGAATATGAACAAAGCCTTTTCTGGGGTGTGTGTTTGTTTTTTAAGTCCTCATTATTCATTCATATTCTTTTATTTGTGTAAGGTAATCATATAAAGTTATTTTGGACACAGACCCAGTTAATTTTTTCTTTTGATAGAGGATACATTGTTCAGATAAGGTATAAAATGTCCCTTTTTATTCTAGAGGCTTTTCCTTTAATTCCAAGATTAGTGGAGAGAATAATGTCAGTCAAGGTAAGATGGCACATGGAACTTGCTAACAGACTTAGGACATTTTGTTTCATTCTTACCTGGATATTGTTTTACTGGTGTTGAGAAAGAAGAAAAATTAGATACTACCATGCATTGGGGCAGCATAATTTTAATATTACATTGAATATAGCTTTTTAAAAATAAGTATTAAAAAGCCTTTTCTTCATTTATTTTTTTTTAATTTGGTTAATATGCATCCAGACTGTCTTATTTTTACTTGTTAAATGTCTAGGAAGAATTGTGATTGGAAAGGAATTAATTATAAATCTGGTAGGATATAGGTGGAGTGAGTTTGCTTGAAACAGAAGTATATTTTCTACTTTGAATCACCTCACCAGAGTCATCTGTCAAGAATTATGTATGAAAACAATTTCTCTTTATTGCCTACAAGCCACATACTCTTTCTGGATTAAGATAAATAACTTATGTTTGTGAATTGAACTTCATTATCTGCCATTTTGTGGAATCAACCTCACATTTCAACTAGAGCTGATTGTCACCACAAGGTTATATGACAACTCTGTTCTAAGACTTATGCCTATTATATAGGGTTATACCTTTTTTCTTATGCCTCAGCGCTGTACCTGACAATTTATAATTCGGTGGAGCCAAGCTAGAGCTAGAAGGAACGAAGGTCATCCTAACACTGTGACGGGGATGAATTCCTGGGTATTACCTGCACAATGAGGTGGTGCCCTGGAATTCACAACAGAGTAGTAATAGAGCATAAGATGGCTGCTCCAGATGACTCTTGGGTTTAGTGTACTTGTGATTGAACAATATTTTTTATATACGAAGCTTGATTCTACAACCAAAATAATAGAAGTTTTTTGGGGGAGGGGATCATATCTGCTTATGCTTTTTAAAAGCTTAAAGTTTAAGTAAAAGTAAATTGTAAAAACTGATTAACCCTGCACAAGTCTGGCAATGAGCTCTGCATGAGGAAATGGAAGGAGGAATATTGAACATGATTCTTGGAAAGTGGACGTAAGGAGGAAAATGGGTTTTCCTTTTCTGATCATGGGCTCTGGAAAGTATTCATGGCCTTTACCAGCATTCAGTATAAACCAGAGATAAGGACATATGTACTTACGTGTGTCTGTGAGTGTGTGTGTGTGTGTGTGTGTGTGTGTGTGTGTCTGAGTGTTATTCTGAGCAGCTTGTAAATATTGTAGTTGTTTAAAATGGAAAATAAAGGCTGAGTTTTTTTGGCAAATATATTGCATCAAAAATACAGTATTGATGGTGGATAAACACTGAGGAAATAAATTTTTTTTTCATTTTGCCTTCTGTCCATTTTTTGTCAAATTGAGAAAAATTACAGTACACTATATTCAGTTCTGTATGGCATGTTCTTAAAACATGTACTTGGTTCTGAAATCATTTTAAATAAGCTTTGGCCTGTAATCATGCTTCAACTTAAAATAGATCAAAAGCCTACATCATACTTCATGTTCAAAGATGGTCTTTCTCACACTTTTCTTAGTGCAGGGGTTGTAGTTTGTATCTTCTGAATTGATCCGATATTACATATTAACAATATTAGATGGAACATGTAGGATGATAGAAATGTATATGTTCAATCACACACTAAATTACAGCACAGCAAATGGAAAGAACATTTGGATTATGGTCATCAATCAGGTGGGTACAAACTTGTTTGGTATATTTGCAGTGTGTACTAACCCAGTGATTTTACAAATAATACTTAAAATACAAGCTGATTTACAATGAGAATAGACGTATTCTTGATTAAATCGCTTATAATCCTTTAATGCATCATTTTAACTATTACTTAGTAAGAACCAGAACCAGCAGGATACAGATTATATACCTTTTGTATCAGAATCCAAATAGTTTGCTATCTTTCTTCTGGAGTCACAGTGGCATAAAACACATCTTCAAAGAAAGAAATTCCCTGGATGAGTTGCATTTATCTTAGAGCCAGAGATTCAAAGAGCTGTTGACTTGAAATTTAGGTCCCATAAAACTTCTTCCTTTTTAAATCCAGATCTTGCACCGCTTTATTTTTAAAATGCAGTTTATGTAAGATTTTTTCCTCCTAAAGGATCCAAAATGTTTTGCTGACTGTGGCCAATGAATCTTGCCATGTTAGGTGTGCTTTCCCCTGGGGTAGGGTGGAAAGCAACACTTTGTTAAGTAAGGGCATGACAGAATGGTGGCTTTCTGGGTATTTAATCAGCACTTACATGAAATATTTATTCTCAGCCTGGACAAGAGACCCCGTCCCTACAGAAACATTTAAAAATTAGCCGAGCATGGTGGTGTGTGCCTGTATTCCCAGCTACTTGGGAGGCTGAGATGGGAAGATCACTCTACCAGGATTCGGAGGTTCAGTGAGCTGAGATTGCACCACTGCACGCCAGCCTCGGTGACAAAGTGAAACTCTGTCTTAGAAAAAATTATTCTTCCTCCTTCATATGTGGTTATCAAAGGAAACTAGATAGAATTAAACTTCACCCTTTGGAAAATGTAATTTAATTCCAGAGGATCCCTAGGTTGCTTAGCAATTTCTCAAGCATTAACAGCAAGTGGCTGGAGATGAATCTACCTTGTCTGTGAAACTTTAAAGAGGCCATTCAGTTTCAGCGCCCAGTGAACCATGCCAAAAGGGAAAAGTCATCTTTCAGTCCGAGTTTCCCTTTTACTTCTGAGAGCACTGTTTATGGTTACAGAAGCAACTGGCCCATGTAAAAATACTCCAGATCTCTGTCCTCATCTTAAAGCAAATATTCTTAACCTGTCTTTATCATATAAAGTCAACATTCCAGGATAACGCTGAACTTAAGCAGATACCCGGTAGTGCCTCTGTGTGTTTGTAATACAGTTGACCCTTGCACAGTGCAGGGGTGAGGGGTGCCAACAGCCCACGCAGTTGAAAATCTGCATGTAACTTTTGACTCCTCCAAATCAACTCCTATGAACAAAGAAATTTGGAGGAAAGATACTTTATTTCAGTGAACAGTTTGTAAAACTGGAGAGATGCAGTATTTGGTGTAAAATGGAGGTACGTTTCAGAGAACAAAGGGAAGATTGGGGTTTTATTTGTTTGTTTTTGAGACAGAGTCTTGCACTGTCACCAAGGCTGTAGCTCCGTGGTGCAATCTTGGCTCACTGCAATCTCTGCCTCCTGGGTTCAAGCAATTCTTCTGCCTCAGCTTCCCAAGTAGCTGGGACTACACACGTGTGACACCATGCCCAGCTAATCTTTTTTTTTATTTTTAGCAGAGACAGGGTCTCACCATGTTGGCCAGGATGGTCTTGATCTCCTGACCTCATGATCCGCCCACCTGGGCCTCCCAAAGTGAAGCCTGGGGTTTTATAGCAAAAGTTCCTGCCCAAGCTTCCCAATCAGGTCCTTTTATGCAAATGAAGGATTGAAACTTGCTTAGTTCTGATTGGTCAATACAGTGGAACCGTGTTTGCTTGGCTTACCTGAGCTCTGATAGTTCCAAAGATAAAAAGCTATGGGTTTTCAGGGAACTCAAGAGTGTGTGTGTGATTCCAGTCAGCAAATGGCTGCTTGGCTCCATTTTAAATTCAGGGCCAGTTAGCCACTTGGGATTCATCTTGAAGAATGGGCTCTTTCAGATTCATATTTTTCACACTAATAGCCTACTGTTGATTGGAACTCTTACCAATAAACGATTGATTGTATGTTACATGTATTATATATTGTATTCTTACAATAATGTAAGCTAGAGAAAAGAATATGTTATTAAGGAAACATATTTACTATTCATTAAGTGGAAGTGGATCATCATAAAAGTCATCATCGCCTTCACACTGAATAGGCTGAGGAAGAGGAAGAGTTGGTCTTACTGTCTCAAGGATGGCAGAGACAAGGAAATTCGCATATAAATTGACCCATGCAATTTTTTTAAAGGGTCAGCTGTACTGTTAATGAACGTACTCAATAATGCCCCACACACCACTTCTCAGTTGTATACCAGTTGATAATACAATATTCCACAAATGTCTCAGTGGGAACCCTACCGGGTAGTACAGATGTTTAAGGTGCACCTTTGTATAGAGAAAAATTTGTCTAGCTTGTGAATTTGAGAGACCCCTTTTGTGCATTGCACTGTGAAACAGCATTTATTTAAGCAGTTAATTCTATAATGTTAATTAGGTTGTTTACAGTTTCAATAAAGCAAAAACTTAAAGTTGCTGGAACAGAAATTTGGCTCACTACAAAATGAAACTGAGCTTTCAGGATTGGGTTATTCATGTTACTCCAGTTCTGTGTATCTGTAATTTTCTCAACTCCGCTCTGTTTTGTGTGCTGGCTCCCTTTTCAGGTAAGAGACAGTTGCCTGCAGTTCTGGGCTGCATTCCACATACATCCTCATCCAGAAGGAGAAAAATTACTTCCTATTACCTTTCTTGAAAGGAAAAACTTCTCTGAAGCCACAGCATGTTTCTTCTTGTATCTCATTGATAACATTTGACATACACAAGATTCTCAACGTTTTTCTGTGCCCTGGTTTTCTAAACCAGTCACTGGCAAGAGAAATAGACTTGCCATGATTGGCTCTGACAAATCACGCAGGTTTACCGCTGCTTTTGCACAATTATTACAAATGTAATACAGTTAATTAAAGGGAATATGATATGTTAGAATCATGAAAATAATTTTACCACCTCGGTTATCTAAGACAGTCTTGAACACTCCCAGAGGGTTATAAACTGTGCTGTGAGAGTCACTGTTACAAGAATATCTCCATCTCATTTTCGTTTTCAAATTTACTGACATAAAGTGACTCAGTATTTCTGTAACAGCTGTAGATATACCCTTTTCATTCCTGATACTGGTTATTTTTGCCTTCTCTTGTCTTTTCAAATAACCAGTTTTTGGTTATGTTGATCATTTTTTTGTTTTGTTTCACTTTATTCATTTTTGCATTTGTATTTATTCCTTCTCTTATTTAGTTATTTTTCTAGCTTCTTGAGATGGACACTCAGTTCTTTGGTTTTCAGCCTTTGTTCTTTTCTATTTATACATTTTAAAGTTATAAATTTCTCTTTAAGCATTGACTTTAGCTTTGTTAGACAAGTTTTGATATATCTTTTTTAAAGACAATCAGTTCAACTATTATTTAATTTTCATTATGAATTCTTCTTTGACCCATGGGTAACTAGACCCCTGTTAGTTTCCAAATATTGGGTGATCTTCCAGATATTGTTTTCTAGATATTACTTAAGTGTAGTCAGAGGAACTGTATGATATTAATTCTTTGGAACTTGTTAGCCTTCTTTGTGGCTCCATATATTGTCCATTTCAGTAAATGTTGCAGTGGCAATTGAGGAAAAAAATGCATATTCTGCAATGATAGCCTTCTATATTATTTATATATACATATATATACAGTTTTTTATTCAGATTCTGTATATTATAGACTTTTAAGTCTATAATACACAATACATTTATGCCTATAATAAAGTACATTTGTTACTCATCAATTTATGATTTATATATTTGAGGCTATGTTATTAGATACATATAAATTTGAAGGATTTTTTTATGGATTGTCCCCTTTAATATGAAATGCCCTCTTCTTCTCTAGTAATACTTCTTGCCCTAAAGTTACTTTATCTGATGTTACTATAGCTGTATCAGATTTATATAGTATACATTTGTCATTTTACTTTCAACTTTTGTATGCTTTATAGGTAAGGTATACTCTTATAAACCACCATATAGTAAGGATTTTTAATCTTGTTGACAATCTTTTTTCCCACCCTCAGCTCACTGCAACCTCCTCCTCCCAGGTTCAAGTGATCCTCCTGACTCAGCCTCCTGAGTAGCTGGGATTACAGGTGTGCGCCACCACACCCAGCTAATTTTTGTATTTTTGGTAGAGACGGGGTTTCACCATGTTGGCCAGGCTGGTCTCAAACTCCTGACCTCAGGTGCTCTGTCATGTAGGCCTCCCAAAGTGCTGGGATTACAGGCATGAGCCACCATGCCCTGCCTATTCTTTCCATTGTTATTTATTCATTTCCATTGTTATTTATTTCGTTTCCAACGAAACCACAAAGGTAAAGGAATATTTCTTCTACCTACAGAACTCCCTTTACCATTTCTTGGTCTGCTAATGACAAATTCCTTGTGTTTTTCTTCTTACAGTGAAAATGTCTTTTTGTTTTCATTTTTGAAGATTTTTGTGAGATACAGAGATTTGGCTTGGCAATTACTTTCTTTCTGATTGTCTTCTGCCTTTCATGGTTTTTTTAGTCTTGTTGCTCTTTTAAGGGCAACGTA